TCTGTGCCCAGTCAAAATACAGAAAATTGGCCACCATCTTGCCCCACGACCGAGTTTAAAGAGGAATGGCCCTAGCGGGTAATGTGACGTCAAATCGAGAACACGAAAGTCTGCATTTCACACATTTTCACTTGTTTGGGAAGGTTGTCATCGATATTGTCCGAAATATGCCAACTAGGTGTGTTGTATGAGGAATGTATGAAGTGCGATACCCTCTTGCAAATTTTGCACGTTGCTACATCCTTCTACAACACACTTAGTCGGCATATTTTTGGACAAAATCGACTACAACCTTCCCAAATAAGTGAAAATGTGTGAAATGCAGACTTTCGTGTTCTTGATTTGACGTCACATTACCCGCTAGAGCCATTCCTCTTTAAACTCGGTCATGGGGCAAGATGGCGGCCGATTTTCCGTATCTTAACTGGGCACAGAAAATTGAAGATTTGAGCAAATAAAAAAATTTTTCACAGAAATACTCCAAAAAATATGCTTATTTCGTTAAGCAAAAAATTTTTTTTGGGTTTTGGTGCACTTTAAGGTACTAGCTGAGTTGAAGTCTTTTATTGTTGACATGCCACAAGGGCTCAAGTATAACAACAAATAGTTTGAACCCTGGGGAAAAGTTAATCAGGGGCTCTGTTTTCTGCATGAGAGTAGTCCTGGAAAGGACAGCTGTTGGTAGCATTGACTGATGTTGCAACTACCTGAGCAGAAATCATCATCAGGGACAGAGTCTGTCTGATGAAGACAAGCAGTTGGGTTTTTGAAACATCTTGCATTCCTGCATGTAGACCATCAGACTGCCCAAAGAAACCCGCCCCCACTACTCCTGATTAACATATATAGGTGGTGAGAAAATTATGTCATTTCTTACTTGTATGTTAGCGAATGTGTTTCTTTCAGTAATTGCCGAAAGTCCCCTTTAGCATCTGCCAGTTTGTCTCGCAAATATTGGTTGAACTCCTCTTCACGTTTCTATCACAAAAAAAAAAAAAGAAATGTGGAGTATAAAATATGACTCATATACACCAGCAAGTAGGATTCTCTCAAACAAATACATTTGTTAATCATCATCTGTTTACTTACTCTATCCTGACTTGAAAACTTAGAATATCTGGAGTCTTCTTTAATCAGTTTTCTAATACTTCGCCAGGATGAAGTAAGGGTCAACTGTAGAAAAAAAAAAAAAGCCATACTTGGGTCAAACACTGTTTCTAGTGCATTTTAATTAAAACTTGTTAACCCTTTCTCACACACCGCTGGTAGCCATGTCAAGCTGACCTATACCCAGACCCCAGCGGCGTGTGAGAAAAACATTTTTCACTTATTTTGTTCTACTCAGCCAGTGAAAAATCACTCTGAACTCCCAGAAGAGATTAACATCTAACTTCTCCCTATAATATCCATACATTATCCAGCAAACAGGTAATGAGAATACTCAAACTTGACACACAGAATTAGTTATTTTGATCTAACACCAAATTCTCATAACTGATTTTCAAGGAAAGGTGTGACAGCTACATGGGAGAATTGAAAGTCAGATCTTGGGAAGCTTCATTGATGGCGGAATCAGTACAAAAGAATAATAAGTGCCCCCCTCTATTATGCACTCTCCTTCCGACAAGAGCCTATCTTTTTAGCTGAAATCATAAGTAAGCACCCAGGTGCTTATTCCAGGAAATAGAGCAATTCACAATTATGCAATTTAACCTTTTAAATTGGGCTTTTAACATCCACTGAACAGACTAAGATGGAATTTACTTTAAAATTTACGATTAAGAGGTTTCAACTTAGGTACCTCGTGAGTTTCATCCAATAGTTTTCTAAACTGCTCCTTTTTTCTATGGTTTAAACTTTCTACGTGACTTTTAAAAAGTGTTTCCTTGTCACTTTTACTCAAAGCATCAGCCATTCCCCAGCGATGGTCTTTACGTAAAGTTTTCTTTGTCTCCTTCCAGCCAACATCTGCATTGCGAACCTGTGGATGGTAAAATGATTTATCAGAAGTGTTTTTTTGTGCTGGACATCTTGATCATTGCTACCAGTCAATTGTCACTAATTTGAGAACTGAAAGTTGTTAACTTGCATTTGCTATCAAAGTTCAAGCCAGACTCCACCCATTAGCAAAGTGACAGATTGAGGAGAAAACTAATTTAATTGATTATTAATTGAAAGCTGATCAAATAAGAAACAGGTAGACTGCTACAGCAAATTTTGAAAAGTTGCTGTTTCAAAAAAAAAAAGCTTTACAGCTCTGCAAAGGGCTAGTGCTCGAAACTTCAGAGTTTAAAAATTTGCTGAGGAACACGTAGTTTAATCAATTTTTTAATTTGATAATCAGTTTAGTATTTCACCTTCTTGTGAACAGAGCACATCAATTACTTTGAAAGAACTAACAACTTCACCTTATCATTTCAGATGCACTCAAACCCCACCTCTTTCAGAGAAGCTAGTCACAGCTGCTGCAATGTACTTTTATTGCTAAAAAGTTTCTTTTTTTCCCCTCACCATATCAGCTAACAATGCATTGAAATGCTGTTCTGCTTTGTCCCTGAGTTGCTGTTCCTTCTCCTTCTCTCTGGCCTTGGCAAGTTCAGCTTGGCTTGCTCTGACTTCACGTTCTCGTTCCCTGAGACTTGCTTCTATTCTTTCCTGTTTCTCCTTTTCTTTCTCTTTATCTGCATTCTCTTTCTACAGGTTGAAGAGGGTGGAGATTCTGTTTTAGGATTGTATTTACTCTGCTCTGTCATATTTTACAAAAGTATTCTCCCTATGTTCTTAAAAGACTGTACAACAATCTTCTTAAAAAAAAAACAAACTGCCTTCCCATGTTGAGTTTTTAAATTTTAAGGGGGGTGCATGCTCCCTAATCTCAACCCCACTCCCTCACCATATTTCTGCCCAAATGTCTTATCCTTGTGTCCTCCTGTTAAGCTTTTAATTCCCATGATCTGATGTTAAATTCTCCCCTCTAGCTGTGACACGCTTCCTTGTAAATTAGTTACGAGAATTATTTTGTGCCATGTAATAAACCTCTTACTGCCCTCCCTTGCTCAAGCTGTAGTGGGGAATATTGGCTGTTGGTCATTTCTGTATGGAACTCACTGCTTGGTCTTTAATGCCACAGCCTTGGGCCAATATTCTCCAATGCAGCCCTCATGTTCAGTTAAGAAGAAGTTAATAATTATATTTTAACACTTTTTCTGGAGAATAAAATTCCATTTCTAGCATGATCAATGAAGGTTAGAAAAAAAAGACTTTGAAGAAGTTGAGCTTGGAGTACTGTGACTAACTTTGGATGTAGAACTACATCTTGAGGATTTTTCTACAATCCCAGCCCCATTCCTCAGTTTCAGTCTGATCAATAGAGTTTCAATAACTCAAACATCTCAGGAACCACCCAAAAATGAAAGATAACAAGAATTCCTCACCCAAAGAAACACCCCAATAATTGTAGAGGACAGACATGTACAACAAACAAACAAATGCAAATTTAAATGTGTGAGTACTAAATGCTAAATGGTTATCAATAATAAATGAAATCTTGGTCTTTATTCGAGATTATACTTGACTTCTTTCTAAATTTCTTTGTTGACCATTTGAATTTTGTGCTTATTTCTTAGAGCATTGTTAAAAGTACTTACAGAGGAAGCCTAATTTAGACTGATTGGTAAAACTATTCCAAGCCAAAGGGTCTCCATATATATCCAAGAGAGATTCTCCCTAAATTTATCTTAAAACTTAGAAAACAATGAACCAATCACCTTGTAAATTTGTTCAATGTGTTCCTTAAACCACTCCTCTTTCTGTGAAGAACTTTCGACTGCCTTGTAGCGAGGGTCTTTCTCTATCTTGTGGCGAACCTTACGCCACTGAGCTTTATTGTCTAGTTTCTGTTCAACCAATAGCTCTTCGAAATCATTATGAATCTGTAGGAACCAAAATAACAGAAGGAAAAATAACACTTATAAACAGGCATAATGTTTATAGTATTGCAGATTATGAAAACTTCCATCTTTTTGAAGACTACAAACAGTGTGAATACTTACATGTACAATATTTATCTTCTGATATTTAAGAATTATTGTAAGAAAATTTTTCTTTCATACACTGTTCATGTAGTCCTTGCATGAATCATAACTTTTTAGAAAGCAGTTTTTTCTGGATGCAGTTCCAAGAAATGGTTGGACCTGTGCTCAAGTCTAGAGAATTGAATTAAGCAGTAAAATGGCCCTTTCTTACATCTTTCCTGTATTCATTTCATTTCAATTGCTACCTTCCATATTGTAACATTCTTGAGAATTCGTGTGTCAAGTAGTACTCAGTGTTCTATTGGAAGCAAGTTGCCCAACTGAAAAAACCAAATATCTTAAAACATCTATGGGTGCATATCTGTATTTGATGATTGCAATTCATTTCATTAATACAATCCACATTTTTACATTGAAAATCTGCTCAAACAAAAGAAATCATTGAAATGAGAATTTAATGCTGTTGCTGTAGTGGTTTTTAATTTTCAAGCAGTGGTTCAAGGAGCATCATCTCGAAAATGTCTTTCTATTATTACATATTAAATTATGTAGTTACACAGATGGGATGGGTAAGCAGGAAGAAAAAAAGGGACCTCATCTTTGTTTACTTCAAACCCTCCAAACTTCCCAAAGGAAAAAAGGCAGGAAAAAGAAAAGTTTGGTTTCATTAATTTTGGTATGTGACTGGATGGAGTTTGAACTCCAAACAGCGATTCCTACCCCCTGGAGAGACAGTAAAAGAAATCAAAATGGTGCACTCTTGTATAATCCAAAAGAAAGCTGAAGTACATGTATTCATTTGACCTCAGATGTACAGTGTATTTATGGGTGAATTCATGGTCAAAACCAGAATTTTTATCTATCTAGGTTTATCAAACTATTACACCACACTGGAAATTCATATGATAAGTATATACCCAAGTCTACAGATGCGACTTTCTGCAAAACTGTATGCGTGACTTATACTGCACTATAACTGCAATGGAAGTTGCGACTCACATAACAGCGCGCTACACTTCAATAACATTCTTACAAGTGTACTACCCCGATAAACACAAATACTTTTGAGGTTATCTTTGTAGTACACAGGCAAGTCTTAACCATTGATATAAATGCTATGAAATGACTCAGTTACCTGGTGGGGCAGGTTTAACACTGAACAGACAGAGGATCAAAAAAGAAGCAACATAATTCACTGTAGGCCAAGGCAGCCTTGCCAACTGTTTGCTGTGTTGTATTAGACGGACGGATACAAGGTTAAAAACAATACTGACAAGCAAAAATGAAACTGCAAATGCCATACAGCTGAAGGACAATTGGGGCTAGGGAATTCTAATTTGATGGGGATCTATACCATACAAATAACTTGGAAACTAATGTGGAACAGCAATGAGCAGACTTAAAACAGCTTTCCAAAAATAGGGCAGGGATGTTTCATTTTAGAGAAGCTGCTGTCATATCACATGACTGAGTCACGGACAGCTCAAAACTTGATTCCAACACAGGCTTATCAGAAAATTTTTCAGGTGTGATGATCACAGTACAAATCATTTACTAGCTCTAAGAGAGTAACGCAATTTGTTGAAGTGATATCTACAATCTACCAATGAGAGTAAAAGCTGAAACAAGGATTTATAGTGTCAGGAAACAAGGATTTACATTGTCAGGAAACAAATACAAGATATTCCAACACCAAGTAGTCTGTAGATTATTTTCAAAAAAGGAAATTATAAATTTTTTGTTTTACTCAGCCAAATGAATAGAATTTATGTGCTAACTAAACATTAGACTATGAGCAGTATCTGACTGCACTAATTGATATCAGCATGCTGCACAGAACTCCAAGTTCCAGGAGATGCACCACTAGCAATTTTTTTCTCAATGATTTTATTACTAGAGCTCACGCAATGGACTTTGCCAAAAACAAGGAACTGCTCATAGTCCAACAAAATGTAACATTCACACTTCACTCTGTGCAAATCCATTCTTAAATCTCACTTTACTATTTCTTAAACTGCTCTGTGAATCCAAGCCTTGAGCAACATTCCCAACTACTTACTGCTGCTCTGTTTTGTTTCTCAAAACTGAAAAACTTCTCACATGTTCTCCTCCACCTTGCGCACTTCTCTCACTTCATATTGCCATAGCAACTCTCTCACTGATCCCCCAAGGGGCAACTGACTAACCTTATCTTGCTTGAGTCGCAGATTTTCTTTTTCCTTCTTCTTCAGCTCAGCCATGAACTCTGTAAAAAGACTCTCTCTCTCTTTCATCTTCTCTATGCCTTTAAATCTATCATCTTTACCATACTTCATTGCAAACTCACTGAATGAAGTTCTGAAAAATATAAAATATACATCGTGTACAGTGTAAAAATGTACATCATGTACAGTGTAAATGTATTAGTTATCAACTAGAACAACTAGAAACTAGCCAATTTGCCTGGTGCCTGGCCCTTAATGAAACCCATCATTTAATATACTGAAATAAACTTACTTTCCAGCAGTTCTAGCCTCTTCTACCAGAACTTTAAAGTCATCCTTTTTTGCCTTTAGCTTGTTCTTTCTCTCTTGCCTCTCCTCGTCTGCGCGAGTGCGCACAAACCTTTCAAAACACTGCTTGCGTTCTTTTTGGGTCAGCAATAAAAATCGAGGATCGAATACAATTTTTGGCAGCTCTTTTTCCCAGGTTGAAAATGCTGACACCTACAAAAAGTATACAATTATTACACATTATTATACACAAGGGAAAGTTTAATTGTTTAATTCTGTAAAGTGTTGTTATGATTCTCTGCTTGTCTACCAGGATCTAATGTTGTAGCTGAGAGCCTGCGATGTTCTAAGAGTGCACTGAAGTGCTTTCTAATTTCCATTAGCTGCATGACTTTTTAATTAGAGATTGTCAGTTATCCAGTTTATCCCTTGTAAGTAGTTCTTGAATCTTTTTGATTGTACACAGCTTATGCTGTTTTTATCTTTTATTTAGGGAAACATCAGAGGGTCGACCTCCAGTTTTCCTTTTCAAGATGTTTTACTACTTTTGTTTATTTCATCATGAATAAATAATGCTATGTTATGTTGTTAGAAGAGTGTGTCTTTTAAACAGCACTGCATTTGAAGCTACTGACAGTGTAAACAGGGCACTGATAAGAAACAGTAATCCTTACTCAGTCACCTAATCCAATTAGATTAAATTTAAATCTTCTTTGCAATTATCCCTTAAACCTTCGACTCCCATGCATGACCATACATTACTCAGCAATGGATGTAATGAGAATATAAAAGCTCGTCAGTATGCAGTAAACATCACCTTTGGAGTACAAGGACTACATGATAATTTTTCTGTTACTGTTAAGTACAAGAACCAACCTACCCCTCTCTCTAACATCATATCTCTGAACTCCTTCATTCTGTCCTCAAGCGAAAGCATCTTTTTCTTCTCCTGCAAGGGTACATTTTTGGCTGCTTGGACTACAGCTACAGGCTCCTCAGCTGGCACAGCCTGTTCTTCATGGGGCTTTGATTGTAGCACGTCTTCCTTAGTTTCCACATCTGTCATTTGCACGTCAAGAACTTCCTCACTCTGGCTTGCAGTCCTAAATAATAATGCCCAACATTCACAGCCTTTGTTGTATTCATCTGATTCTCTCGTGATCCTTTTGCCTCCCCCCCCACCCCCTGTGAGTGACTAATATCTGATTTCTCTTTACAATAATTATACCTCCTGAGTAAAAGCTAAAGTCAGGAGAATAAAGGAAATGATCATGAAAAGAAGCCTTTGATCATTAAATAAATTCTCCTTGTTAGCACCTTAGAATTGTATGGAGAAAAGTATGGAGAATATGCATACTGATGTTAGGGTGTAGCGTGTCTTCAGGGTTCTTGTCCTGTTTCAGGAACCCAATTCAAGGACTTTCAAGGACTTTTTAGGTCATTTTCAAGGAACTTGGCTCTTACATTCATTAAATAGGAGCTAACAGAAATAAAAAAAACATTGCTCTTTATCAAGTGTCAAACATCACAATCAGATGCGGGATTTGAAAGTAAAATTTGTTTTTGCGATTTTTGCTACTAGAAACTTACACTTTCAAAACAAAAAACAACAGAAAACTTTGACTTTGATTCATCTGCACTCATTTTCAAGGACTTCTCAGAAATTTTCAGGGACCTGAGACTAAATTCAAGGGTTTTCAAGTCCTTGAAAGCAAAAAATGAAATTCAAGGACTTTCAAAGACTTTCAAAGGGCATGAGAACCCTGTGTCTTGAAAGCATTACCATTTCTGCACACATGTGCAAAATGGAACAACTTACATCCAGGGTTAGTGACTGTAAGATATTTTCTGGGTTTAATCTATTAACTAGATAACCTGTCCTTAAATATACTTTTAAATAAATAAATTTGCAAAAAAACCTTTGTTTCTTGGCTGGAGGGCTTTCATCTGTGTCTTCATCTGTTGAGATCTTGTTCTCTCTTTCTGATTGTGAGCAAATCAGAAAGCAAACAGACAATAATAAATTTTAGATTGATGAATGATTACATAAAATTCAAAATGAAAGACAGTGTAGCAGCAAAATATGTGGTATTTTCCCGTACTTAATTCAGTCGAAGGTTGTCTTTTAGGAGGTCCCTTGCTGACAATCTCATCAACTTTATCATTATCCTCCAGCTCTTCAGGTTTCTCCCATATGGATAGTCGTGTTGTAGGATTGAAAAAGAACATCTTTTCATCTCCGGTCCACACCACACACCAGCTTGTTCCTGGAATTAGTTGACTGGCAACAGGTTTGCTCTTGTCACCATCATCTTCCTGGCCTTCGTCCTTCTTAGCTTCATCACTTTCCTTTTCTTCATCTTTTTATGGAATAATATAGATGTTGTCAATAAAAATGATTCATAGACAAGTTATTTATGTTGCTTTAAGCTGTGGAAACTTGGACATTTACCTCAACAGTGTATTATGAACAATTTGCTATTTAGCTGTAATGCTCTAGGTCTCGAATGAAACTGAAAATACTTCACTGAAATACCTTTCACTGTCTTGTTTTCTTCACTGTTTTCCTCGTTTGCTTCAGCTTCCTTGGACTTCTCACTATCCCCAGGATCACCCTGAGAGGTTGAATCTGGCACAACTTCTGTACTTCCTACAGGGGGAGGCTTTTGTTGCATTCCTGGTCGAACAAGCCCAGGAAACATTCCAGGTGGCATCATTACTGGGGGAGGTATGCCTGGTCATGAAGTAAAGTAGTTATTATGATAAAGGAAATGATTGCCAACTAAAGAGGCTATCGATTGTTAAAAATTATCCTTGTTTGTGCTGGAGAAAATGTATAGAGAACAGCATGGAGAATATTCACACTGATTTTTTTAGTGGAGAGGCTTAAAAAAAGAGCAAAACTCCAGACCGTTATCGTAATTTCTGGCCAATTACCCGCAGGTAATCTGTTGATTTTGCATTAAACAAGTGTCACTGCGCATAATAGGGAGGTGGGGGTTACGTGACGATTTTAAAATCTGCTAGTTGTTGAATTGAAAAAAAATTAATTCTCACCTACCTGTGTTTCTACCTCTCAAATTAATTTCATTGTATTAAGAGTGCCACAAAGCAGCACGAAAACATGATGCCTACTCGAGTTCATTTCACGCATAATAAGTTGCGTGTGAACAAATTTTTATCAGCACGTGTGTAAACAAAACCTTCACGGTGACAAAAATAATCCAAGAATGTCCAGCGCATCAGTAACAAATTTCCAGTTAACACTAGCTTGAGCTGAGAATTTTCTCATTTTAAGGGACTTTTTAGGCCCAGTAGAACCGGATTTTTTTTACGAAATCGCTGACAGTAGTTTGAAAGCCCACACATATCAATAGAGTATTGAAAATAATAGGTGTGAAACTCAACTATATAAATTCATGACGCTGAACAATTGTTCGCACAAAATGTTAATGTTTTTACCGTATCATTTTAACAATAAAGTACATGCTAATATAGACACAGAATTGAACCCGCATCTGAATTTCTTTGCCCTTTAAACTTTCTCTCAACAAGTCAACATGGTGCTGAATGATCGCTCGCACAAAATGCTTGTATTTTTACTATAAAAATTATCATTTTAACAATAAAATACATGCTAATATAGACACAGAATTGTACATGTGTCTGAATTTCTTCGGCCTTTAAACTTTAGTTCAACAAGTCAACATGGCGCTGAACATAAGGTGTGGGTGTGGGTAATCTGTTGACTTTTTTCTTCGCCGTATGGAACAATTGGCCGGTGCAGGTAATCTGCCGTGCGGGTAATCGGCTGGAAATTACAGTAACAACTTGGCTGAATGACCAATATGTGACTTAAGGCAAAACTAAGCAATAAGTTAGGTAAGCATACTTCAAACATTGAGCTGATTGAGAACCTCTCACTTTACTATTAAGCCATATTTTCAAGAAAAGCGTGTCAATTTATATCCCACACCCAGTTAATAAATTAACTAATATGACTATTTGGATATATTTATAATTTTTACCTAATGATTACTCTTTTTCCCTACTTAAGCTAGGCTGAGATAAAAATCAATCTGAATTTGTAATTCTGATTTTCCAAGGCTAAGAAAGAGTAATGTTTATATAAAGGCTGATAGTTTCTAAAGAAACTGTTTGGGGCTGCGTCAGTGGGGGTAACGAAATAATTTGGATATATCAACAAAGTTGAAAAGGTAAATTGGCCACCGTAACGATTACAAAAGCTGACGTTTTGAGCGTTAGCCCTTCGTCGGAGCGAAAGTGTTTATATAGTTTTGGTGACTGTAAAAATTAATTTGGTGACAATCAAACTAATACCCAGAAGCAAGATCCTTTGAGACCATTACAGCACCCTGCATCTAGGAACCATTTGTTTCCTTCTTTGTTTGTTTGTTTGTTTGTTTTCGATTAATCTTATTAGTTATCATCATATATCAAGCAAAACAGGCTTTGATCAAAGTCATTTGGATATATCAACAAAGTTGAAATGGTAAATTGGCCACCGTAATGATTACAAAAGCTGACGTTTCGAGTGTTAGCCCTTCGTCGGAGCGAATAGAGGAATTGTGGGTTGTGTGTGCTTTTAAAGGCAGAGAATGGTGCTACGTTATTGGTGGGTGCATGGCAACGAGAAAAACATGAATAAATTAGTGGAATGAAAAGCGTTCATTGATCCCTGAACGCTTTTCATTCCACTAATTTATTCATGTTTTTCTCGTTGCCATGCACCCACCAATAACGTAGCACCATTCTCTGCCTTTAAAAGCACACACAACCCACAATTCCTCTATTCGCTCCGACGAAGGGCTAACACTCGAAACGTCAGCTTTTGTAATCATTACGGTGGCCAATTTACCATTTCAACTTTGTTGATATATCCAAATTATTTCGTTACTCCCACCGACGCAGCCCCAAACAGTTTCTTTAGAAACTATCAGCCTTTATTCATTTGATCAAAGTCCCCAAGATCTTTCATACTTACTGGTAGGATCACAACCCTGAAGCACAATGGAGTCAGCCACACTAACTAAACCTGAAAGAGGTCAATTTTTTCTCAGTGCTGTACTTGATGTACCCAGTTACCTGGTGGAAGCATCCCTGGCATTGGAGGTAGTGGCTGGTCCATTTCCTTGGGTCTCTCCCAAGTAGACTGTAGAGTCTTGGAGTTATAGTAGTACACCCTTCCATCTGCTGCACGATGCTCAGACCAATCACTCCTTGGAGGCAGTGGCATTCCCATTGGTGGCAGGGGCAGCCCTGGGGGAGGCATACCTGGGGGAGGCATACCTGCTGGTGGAAGGCGTGGTGGCATCATACCTGGAATCATTCCAGGAAGAGGCAGTCGAGGAGGTGGCATATTTGATGGGAATGGGCTAGGTGATGGCATGCCAGGATTGCTATCAACAAAATAATGTCAAAAGAAGAAAGTTATACCTTAAAGAATCAAACATGTGGCACTTTCAGTATTCATACACATCAACCACACAAAAAAAAAAAAAAAAAAACTTGGGACACAAATTTGGAGTTCAACTTGGACTTAATTGTTAGACAAAGAAAAGAAACAAAAGCTCTCAATTGCAAGCAAGCTGACACCAACAAGAACAAACTTTATGATATGACACTGTCATACTACTGCACATGAAGTACCTGCTACAACATCATGAGCATTATCACTGACTGAATGGTGCCATTCAGTGCTACAACTGAAAATTTTCAACAGAAAACTTGACCTCAAATTCTCTAACTAAAGCCCAGCAAAGAAAACAGCAAATTATAGATACACGCTGTAAAACACGTCAATAACATTTTACTATGTACATTGCAGATGACATTCTTGCAGTTACTTTTGCCCCATTGCCCCTTACGAGCAACCAGCATCTAATTTCTCCTAACAATATCACCCTGAATTACACATTAAAATCCTGAGAAAAAAAAAAAAAGAAGGAAATAATCACCAAGTAAAGGAGCTCTTGGTTAATAAACAAGTTCTCATTGTCAACACCTTGGGAAATTTATAAAGAACAGTATAGAGATTATGCAGACACTGTTATAGATTTACTTACTTTTGTGGTGGTAGTTTATCAGCTGTTACATTAGCACTGCCTACTGCCTGCTGAGTACCATTCTGAGTTACCACTTGTTGTGGATTCTGCTGTGTGGTACTTGTATCTCCAGGCTTTGCTTCCTGCTCTGTGGCTGGTGTTTGTTGCTGTTGTCCTTCAGGAGGAATGTTCTGTCCCTAAAGTTAAGGAGCACAGTAAAAGTTTAAAAAACCTCACTGATCATTGGATAAGGGCAAATCACAAGCACATTATCCTTTATCACCTGTGTTGTATGATAAGAACTCAAAAGACCCACAATCTATGGACAGTAAATCCTTCCCGAGTCAAACTCAGCTAATCATTTAACTTCAACAAGTGATCAACTTGTAAAATCTCCTTAAAGTTCCAATATGTTTCTTGTAATCAGGTTATGAGAGCAGACTTACTTATCAGTGAGAGTTTGTTATCCTGATGAAACATCACATTCTCCCATCTAATTCAGTACGATTCATGTATGTATCAGTCAGAAACAATGATGACTAATCAGATACAATGAAATATATGAAGTTCATATATTTTGAACTGCGGTATTAGATACGTATGATGCACGATCCTCGCAGTAGATAGCGCTATTTAAGCAATAGCGAAAATCAGACCTGAAAAAAAAAATCAGGCCTGTATGGGATTCGAACCACTGACCTCTGCGATACTAGTGCAGCGCTCTACCAATTGAGCTAACAAGCCAACTGGGAGCAGGCCGTTAAGTTGATTCGTAATAAACCCGTGAAAGTGATAAATCAGATACAATGAAATATATGAAGTTCATATATTTTGAACTGCGGTATTAGATACGTATGATGCACGATCCTCGCAGTAGATAGCGCTATTTAAGCAATAGCGAAAATCAGACCTGAAAAAAATCAGGCCTGTACGGGATTCGAACCACTGACCTCTGCGATACTAGTGCAGCGCTCTACCAATTGAGCTAACAAGCCAACTGGGAGCAGGCCAGGTCTGATTTTCGCTATTGCTTAAATAGCGCTATCTACTGCGAGGATCGTGCATCATACGTATCTAATACCGCAGTTCAAAATATATGAACTTCATATATTTCATTGTATCTGATTTATCACTTTCACGGGTTTATTACGAATCAACTTAACGGCCTGCTCCCAGTTGGCTTGTTAGCTCAATTGGTAGAGCGCTGCACTAGTATCGCAGAGGTCAGTGGTTCGAATCCCGTACAGGCCTGATTTTTTTCAGGTCTGATTTTCGCTATTGCTTAAATAGCGCTATCTACTGCGAGGATCGTGCATCATATGTGATGATGACTAATTTGATCTTGAGATTAAAGAGACCTTCTAATGCATATGGAGGACAATAAAAGCAGACTGTCAGGAATCAGTGGGGGGTCACCACAACTGCTCAATTATTATAGAGTTGACTGCGTAATAGAGATGAAAATTGTAGTATTTAAGGGAAAAAAATTTTGAGACTTTGAAAAGCTACCACTTAATAAAGGGTGTCTGCTTCAACACGGTGCTGCTTAGTACTGGCTTGATTTTACTTACTTGGACTGGCTGCAGCGATTGCTGTCCTGACTGGGCAGGCTGCTGATTTTGTGTGGGTGGGGTAACAAGGTTTTTGGGTTTCTCCCAAGCAGACTCTCTGGTTCTTGCATTGTAATAGTACACTTTTCCTTCTGGAGTCTTGTGTTCTAACCACACGTCCCCATTGGTATCAATCATGGGTGGTTCTTTACCCTGAGGTAGCTGCTGCTGAGCCATCTGCATCGACATCTGTTGCTGATTTGGCATCATTGGTGGCATTTGATTTGGCATCATGGGCCTTGACTAAAATTTCATTATTGGAAAAAAAAAAAAATTTTCAGACAACAGTATAAACCCCATTCACACTCTAATGTTAGAGTTCATATTCTCAACACAGATCTTTTTACATAATGTCAAGGAGAATTTGTTTGACAATTACGAGCTTCTTAAATTGGTTATCAATTCCCCACATTCTCATGAACTTTACATGTACCGTAAAAACCAGTGGATAAGCCGCACCTTTTCTCCAAAAATCGTTGCTAGAAATTGGGGGTGCGGCTTATCTGGTGGAACATTTGGAAAAGGTGTCATGAATGTTGATGCCAATTTTTGTCAATGAGTCCGATCTAATGCCTGGTTACTAAGCTTTGAATGTTCTGCTCGTGTTCTTGATGTAATGCAAAAATCTATGGAAAAACTGTGTTGAATGAAGAAATTCCTCTAAAAAAAATACCAGAAAAAGATCAGTCATATGTCAAAGTTGGTAGAAACAATGTTCATTATATTAAAGTGCTAATTGTGGGTAACACTTTGAAGTATTTTTTGCTGCAACGTTAATAGTGAGTTTAAATTCGATGAACAGTGGATGAAAAAGACTTCTCAAGACTCAACTATGTATTTCTTTTGATTTCTTTCCAAAAAACTTCTTTTCCAAAATTTAAGCTGCTAAATTCAGGGTGTGGCTTATCTGCAGGTTTTTACAGTACATTTGATTCAGGTGTGATACTGTCAGGAGAAATTAGAAGCCAGTCACTCTTAAGGGTTAATGAGTTAAACTAGTATAATAATAATAATAATGGAGCCTGACACATATTTACAGCTTCAACATAACAACAAATTTTTTAACCTCCTAGTACTTTATCACAACAGAGTTCCCATGTTTGGGGGCTTAACATATTGGCAGTGATTTAGCATGGTCTGCACTCTAAAGGACAACCTTATTCATTATCACAGTGGTCTCAATGTTGTAGACTTACAAGGTGCAGCTAAGCAAGTCAACAACATTTTGACCCTGAGATGATGAATATCATTTTTCCTAGTAGCACAGACTATGCTTAACCACTATCAATTTGTTCCTAACAAAACATCAATGTCAAATGACACCTTGACCCAAGCAGCATTGTCTGTACTCTTACCTAAAGCGGCAAATTGGCCAATCAGATTGCGACATTGCTGCCAATTGTAGTAAAATTCAAATTAACCCTCTCTTAAATTTTTTCCACCATTCTTGTGGCTGCTTAAATATAGCTACAGCAGAGTGAAGAAAAAATCACTCAAAAAGAAAAACCTGCATATTTGGCAACATGGGAGCATTGCCTTGTGGTCCTCCAAAAGGTGGTCTCATATTGTTCATCATATTCCTTGGATCAAATGGTCCCCTCATGAAACCCCCAGGTGGTTGACCTAATAGAGATCCTCTGGGACCTTGCTCTGTGGGCCCACGAGGTGGGGGGCCTCTTGGATTTGGTGGGACAGCTCTCTGGGACATCAAAGGAGGTGGCATGCTGTGCCTCATGGCAGAACTAAAAATGGAAAAAAATATGTTAAAGAAAAGGGAAGTGAAAATGTCTGTCACCTGATCAGTTATGTTGCTTAATTTTTTTTATCCTAGTAAGTAAGAATGCAAAACCAAGTGACCAGAAATGAAAATTCAACTTAAGCTACAGTATTTTTCAGGGGGGGGGGGGCAGAGGGCTTAAGGTCACACTAAGCATCCCAGCATTTCAGTCTGTAACAAATTTAGACAAGCACAGCTGGTTTGATAGGAACTTATAATTCTGCTTAATCATTTAACCTCCCAAGGGTGATTAACATGGAACTTCTCCAAATATTATCCATACATCATCCAGCGAAAAAGTAATATTACTCAATTACAAAATTACTTGAAATAGTTTGCAAGAAAATGTGTAGCAGCCGAAAGGGAGATTTGACAATCAAATCTTGGGAGTTAGAAAATGACAATCAAATCTTGGGAGTTAGAAGGTTAATGAAAACAAATTAATGATGAGATAAAAATTACCAAGAAATGTTACGCCACTGACAGTTACTTACGTTATGGATACACAGCACAGTGACTCTCAGAGAAACAATTAAGTTGACAGTGTTGCCATTCATTTACATCACGCATGTTTTGAAAACAGTTTAAAACAAAGGTTGATTAACTCAGATAATAAATAGGACGAATTTTTGACGGCTTTACTACTGCAACCGTAAAGTGAACTACCAAATAAAATGCAGAAACCAGATATTCCTCACTTAAACTTAATTTACAATGTAAAACAAACAGCCGTGTGTGTGCCTATAAAGCGTGCTACCTTCACTGCGGTTTTCTAGTATTTTTCATAGTCGCCATTTTGTGTCAAGATGCAAGAAGCTTATCCTAAGAACTCACCTGTACTTTAAGAGTCAGTTTAACTCAAATCAGGGGGAAAATCTGCTATGAAGTAGCTCAAAATCCACAAGTTAATTTCAATCAAGAAGCAAACCACCATCCGCCATATTTTTTTCCCACAGTGCACAAGGATTTTGTTAGAAAGCCCGGATAGAGAAGCTCGTTCCAGATCTACGCGGCGTTTTACTGATGACAAGATGGCGGTAATGGATCATCGAGAATTAATTTGTAAGTAATTAATTGTAGGTGATATGGACAGTTTTCTCAAGTTATAGTTTAAGGACGAAATACCTCTTTCTGCGATTTCAAACTTCAGGGATATTTCCGTATGAGTCCACTCTATTTTTCAAAAAAGCTTGTTTTCTGATCAGGGGAAATTTGATATTTCGCCTTTTCGCGTATATCCAAGAACTGCATACATAATTAATCATAAGGTGGTCCAGAAATCTTGTCTAGCCTTCTTAACCACGCCATTTTTGTTTTAAATCAACCTCAATTAACCTTTTTACGTCTAGAAATGACCAAAAATGAACTTGTCTTTACAATTAATATCCATACACTATCAAGCAGATGGTGATTAAATATAATTTAACACCATTATTCTCCAAGCTAAAAGTCTTACAAATGCATGTTCAACTGACAAATAGGAGAATTGAAAATAATATCTTGGGATTAAGAGGCCAGGTTCAAAAGTTATTAAATTTTATTCAAACTGCCATCAGTAGCATAATATAACAAACAAACCTTTAATTTATTAATAATTCATTTCCTCTTAAATCTATTAAAACTCTTTAATAGACTGTGAAATAAACTAATAAATTTTACTTTTAAAACAAATTTGTTTCCTTAGGTGGTAATAATGTTTGGAAAAGTTGAAAAAATGATTTTGTTTGTGAATTAAAAGTAAGGTTCATATTATGGATTCAATGATGTCAGTTGAAATACATGAATGGAATGTTTTCTGCAATTTAAGAATTTAGACTCACAAAAAATACAAAATTTAAATTTGATCCCATAATTGCAAGATTTTGTGCTTAACTTTATGGCAAAGTGATAAAAATATTTGTAATAACTAATTACATTAGTTAAAAGATTTTTTTTCCACTAACTTAATTAAACCTACTGTAGAAAGTAGCAAAAAAAAGACACAAACCATGTCTTCATTCATTGTGGTTATAATGGTAGATGAAAATGCATGTAACTATCTTCTCTTAAGATGTAAAGTCACTATTAATTGTAGAGTTGAGCCTTCATTTGAGGATTGTGACATTTCAATTGCACTACAGCCAGTTCTCACCAAGCATCAAGAGTGTTTGACTCTAAGCTCTCAAGTGTCATGGATTGAACCTTAGACTTCCGCGAACAAATTGAACTCACAATGAAACAATTATTCATAATGCATTTAAGGTTCCTAATTCAAACATTTGATTTTGAGATATAGCAAACTGCTGCTTTAGTTAAGTTACCAGCCTACAAAATGAATTATCCTGCTTCTAACTATTTACTCCTTGTTCCCTTTGTACTCACTTCAAACACTTTCCAACAGTGGAAATTCTTGCTCAGAATAGAGGAATGCAACTCTCAGCTACTTCTTTTTTTTCATAATGTTTCAGGGCTGCATTCCACCATTCCTCCCTCC